CCCCCCCCCCCCCCCCCCCCCACTTTTGCATCTGAGGAGCAAAAGAGGCTGCATCTTCTGTGCCCCGTACTTGCATTACGCACTTACATCAGCCGCACACAGGTTGTAAAGTCGTGATCAGCTGTTTGTGGCTGTTGCTAACCCACACAGAGGTAAAGCTCTTTCTAGACAAAGACTCTCTCACTGGATTGTAGAGGCCATCTTGCTAGCATTTAGCAGCAAAAATCTTCCAATCCCTCTTGGAGTTAAAGCTCACTCCACCAGGGGTGTAGCGACATCTTGGGCCCTTTTTAAAGGTGTACTTGTGAGTGACATTTGTGCTGCGGCCAGCTGGGCCTCACCAAACACATTTGCACGATTTTACAGCCTGGATGTAACAGCACCTTCGGTGGCTCATTCTGTACTTTCTGCCGGGTCCAAAGCTCTGCCTTAGTACAGTACTTACTCAGGCACACTACTTAATTCAGGTCTGATACTGCTCTGCAGGGCGCTTTGACAAGTCCCATATACAACTGTGTGTTGTACTGAGTGGAATGACTGGAAAGGAACGTAAGGTTATGAATATAACCCCGGTTCCTTAAAGGAATGGATGTTGGCCCCACATCACAAAGGCTCTGTGAAGGGCGGTATCTAACTGAGTAATGACGCTGGTGACTCCGAACTCATAGGGTGAAGGCGGAGCCTGTCACCCGACGTTCAACGTCACCACGTCACCGGTCTAAAGACGTGATTAGAGGTGGCTTCAGCCAGGCGCGCGTGTCCCATATACAACTGTGTGTTGTACTTCGTTCCATTCCTTCAAGGAACCGTGGTTATATTCATAACCTTACGTTTTTCTGCCTTTGCCAAGGAGAAGGTTTGCCTTTACTCTGTCCAAGCACTGATCCACTGGCAGCATCTTTTCTTTTTTAACCGGCTGACATCAAATGCATAAGCGTGCAGCTTCTACCGGGAAACATCAAAAAACTGCACGGCTGAGCGTGGTTCATGTGTGGTTGGAACCTGGAGACACACTTCAGGTGAACTTCAGATCAGAACCTCAGATCAGAACCTCAGATCGGAACAATAGCACGCGCACTGCTGGAGAAAGGCTGGGGAGTTTTGCTCAGTGACGTAGCTCCAATTGCTTCCTACCATGCAAAGAATTATGGGAGATGCCTCTTAATTTGAGAACCATCGCCCAAGAAGAGAGTTAGATACAGTATAAAGCTCTGTGTGATATTTAAAATGTCTGAGCTGTTTCCATACAGTGCTTCCACATGGTATTGTTTGTGACGGCATGCCCTCTCTGCTATTCAAGACAAAATTAAAAATGTTGGAAATTAACATACCTGAATCTCTCTGTAGTCTGTGTTGATGCTGTCGACCAACTTCTGTTGAGGTTCTGCATGCGTTTGATCTCTGAATCATTGAGCGGGAGCTTGTAACCAAGTTCGTTAAGATGCTCTAATTCTGGTGCCATACAGCTGAACTTCAACATGAGCTTCTGTAAAATGGGACAAATGTTTGTTCAGCTTTGACCGAAGACGATTTTAATAAATTAGAGGAAGAAAAAATGAAAGCACCTTCAATTCCTCCATGCGTTCCTGGATGACAGTCATGTCGGTGCAGCCATTGGGATCTTGGACCTTCAGAACCTCCTCAGCTTCAACAATCCAGGAAGCCAGAGACTCCAGGTGTTTATTAAAGGATTCATAGTACTGCACTCCAGTCTGACACAGAGTTAACACACAGATGACCGTCAGTCCAAGACTTACAGTAAATGTAGAAACATGTTCTAACTCCAGTCTGTTACCTGCAGGGTGGTGAGCTGTCTGTTCAGAGCCTGCTCCACTCCAGCCAGCCTCTGTGATAGAGAAAGATGATCTGATTGGATGGCAGATCCTGCTGATGTGTCCACCTGCTGTTTCAGCTGCTCTCCCAGCTCCTGCAGAACCTGAAGCGAGGCCTGCACTGGAACATGTGACCGTAGCAGGTCCTAAAACAAAGAACCAAGAAAATGTCAGTAATTTAAAACAAACTAAAAAAAGGTTTAGATACTTTATCAGTTTAAATGTATTTGAAATAACACATCTGACTGTTCAGCTCATTTCTTTTCATTAAATTATTTTAAAATGTCAGAGAATGTGAGATGTTTATTCTCTAAACATGACGTCCCAGTGGCTTTCAAATCCCAAAACATGTTACGGCAAAGATTAGTTCACCACAAAGATCCGGTCCTCCGGCACAAACTGAGTAATGTTGAGTATGCTGTTAAGTGTCAGGAGGACTGTGATCTGTTATACATCGGGGAAACAAAGCAGCCACTGTTCAAAAGAATGTCCCAACACAGAAGAACTGCATCATCAGACCAGGACTCTGCAGTTTGCATTCATCTACAGGCCAGCGGTCACTCTTCCAGGGTTGAAGATGTTCTCATCCTTGATAGAGAGGAACATTGCTTTGAGAGGAGTAAAGGAAACCATTTTTGTGAAGAAAAACCATCTACCATTAAACAGAGGCAGAGGCCTCCATATCCAAATGTACCCCTCCTACAATGCTGTTATTGCAAGTATGACTCAGCATCCTGTGAACAATAGGTGAAAATCAGGGCCCCAACAATAGTCAGGTGATGATGCACATGATCCTCTATAAACAATAGGTGATAATCAGGGCACTAATAATCTTTTGTTAGGCTGATAGTCCTCCTTTGCTTGTGAACAGTTTTGATTGTCATCGTTACACCTGTTTGTCCACCATGTGGAGGCACTGCTTAAAAGGTTGTTTGCCTGTAACTCATCAGACTATATTTTAATATTTTGTCAGAAGAACCTGCAGTCTCAAACTGAACAAGTGAGTAAAGAATCAAACTGAGATCTGCTCCACTCACGCTGCACTGTTGGATCCAGCTGGTGATTTCATCATCAGCAGTGTCTTTGCTGCAGGTGTTTTTCAGCAACTGGTCTGCCTGGTCTTCCTGCACCTGGATGCTGCTGCAACTCTGATCATGAAGCTCTTTGTAGCGCTGCCACAGCTGCAGCAGAGCTTTACTGCTCCTCAGGCGCTCCACGATCTCCTCCAGCAACTCGCTCCATCTGAGTGCAACATGACTTATATTCACTACAGGTTTTAAATGTTCGGTACCTGTTTTACGTTTCAAAACTAATAAACATAGGAACAACTGAAAACAATGAAACATGTTTCTACAATGACCTTGCATTGACTTCCTTAAGGGCATTGTTTAGAGAATCAGACACTGAAGGGTGACACTCTTTCAGGAGTTGGTGAGTGACGGCTCCAAACTTTCTCAAACTGCTCTCCTTTCTCCCCAGTTCCTCCTGTAAGTCCTTCACAGACACACATTTACCAACAAACGTTTACAAATAAACATTTACCAACAAACGTGACAATATTTAGAACTAGAACACTTCTGAAGAAAATGCTAAATGATCCTGATGCTGTCCACATTCCAACATAGTTTTATAAAAATCTAAGCTCAAAAATAAAAACACCAGTCAACGTCATCATCAGGTAACTATGGAAGATCATTGCATTCACCAAAAAAAAAAATTAGGACTCTGATCTCATAATTACGAGATCAGGATCTCATAATTATGAGATCTTATCTCATAATTACAAGAAAAGATCTCATAATTACAAGATCTTATCTCATAATTACGAGAAAAGATCTCATAATTACGAGAAAATATCTCATAATTATGAGATAAGATGTCATAATTTCGAGATCCTGATCTCGTAATTATGAGATAAGATTTCAAAATTATGAGATAAGATCTCGTAATTATGACATCTTATCTCATAATTATGAGATCTTTTCTCGTAATTATGAGATAAGATCTCATAATTATGAGATCCTGATCTCGTAATTGTGACATCTTATCTCATAATTATGAGATATTTTCTCGTAATTATGAGATCTTTTCTCGTAATTATGAGATAAGATCTTGTAATTATGAGATAATATCTCATAATTATGAGATCCTGATCTGGTAATTATGACATCTTATCTCATAATTGTGATATCTTTTCTCGTAATTATGAGACATTTTCTTGTAATTCTTATCTCATAATTACGACATCTTATCTCATAATTATGAGATCTTTTCTTGTAATTCTTATCTCATAATTACAAGATCCTGATCTCGTAATTTTGAGCTCAGGAGTCAAATACTTTTTTATTATGTGAATGCAATATTCTTCCATAGTTAACCATTATGGAAACAATTTTAAAAATCAGACTTAAACTGTCATTGTTTAAAAACCATAAGGTATATCAAAATATCTGTTCACTCATATAAAGTCCAACTTTTTGTGACCTGTTAAAACTGTAAATAATGGTTCTTGTGTTTTCTCATGGCTTTGGACTAAATGTCATGGAGCTCCAGCTTCTCACAGCCATATGTGTCAGTGTTTAATTAACATGTTTTATTCTAAAACAACAAGATCTAGAACTAAAATATTTCAACTGAATAGTGAAGGGGGACTTTACTGCTTATTGGTCTCCTTAAAAATGGACCTAATAAGAAAACCTCCTCCAACCATCCTAATGCTAAATGTAATGAATGAATCAAGTCCTCTCTCTAAAATACCTGCAGACTCTGTACTTGCTGCTGAACTGCCTCCAGGGAGCCTGTCAGGAGGCGGAACCGTGACACAGAGTACCTGCCCTCCATCAGGTAGACGTTGATCTCTTCTGAGGCCCATTTGTAAAGACTCCACTGATCCAGAACTGATGTCAGGCTAATCTTTAGTTGTCTGATCTGGTAAAGGGGAAATACACAAGGGACATTTAGTCTGAACACTCTACAGTATTTTAATAGAACACAGATATTTAACCCAGCAATCACAGCAATCACCTACCGCCTTGAATGTCACAGATTCAAACAAAAACCTTGTTTTAGCACTTAGTACGTGGTGGGAATGACTCTCAGGTACTTCCACACCAAATACTAACTCTGTCTGTAAAACTGACTGAGTTATAACTGACCACATCAAACTGAACTGGCTCCAAGAGGTTGTCCATCAGTTGTAGATGTACATCCAATTATTATTATCATCCATTTATTATTGTCTGAGAATTTTAATAAAATCTGTCCAGTAATTCAACAGATATTTTGCTAACATACACACAAAAAAGTTATGTGATTTTTCATTAAAATGCGAAGAGGAGAATTACCAAGTGGTCTAGGTTAGCCCAGGTGTGATTGACACTTTGAAGCGTCTCCATGACAATGGCACAGGCCTCGTCTGTCTTGTTCTGAACCAGGGCACAGCCTTGTTCTTCCACTCTTTCCAGGTCTTTCTCCTTTTCTTTTAATAACTCCTCCATTTCCTTAAAAGAGTGATGAAGGTGAGATTCTGAGTGTAGAAGAATCGTGTTTTGATTAACATAAAAAAACCCAACCTGACAGTCTTTCAGAGCATTCTGCACAGATGTTAGATCCTCGATCCGAGGTTTTCTCTTCAACCTGTCTTCCTGAGCTGCCATCCAGGACTTCAGAGCCTGAACGCTGCTCTCATACTCCAGCCACATCTCTAACAGGTTCTCAAGAAACTGGATCTAGATTTGTACAAAAGCAACAGTTACAATTCTGAATAGTAGTAGTAGTAATAGTAGTAGAAGTAATAAATCGTGTAGTAACAGTCAGTGAATAAGAGCTCACCCTTTCACTAATGCGGCCTTGTAGAAGCTGCCAGCGTCGATTCACAGCTCCTAGACGCTCAGCAAAGTCAGTCTTATCACTGCGCTTACTCTCCACATCATGACCACTGACCTGCAGGACCGACTGGTTGACAAAGTCCACAGTCAGCTGTTTACAGCTTAAATCCACTCTGAAGCCCTGAAGTCAAGAAACAGTAGATTTATTATTAAAAAAGACCCAGACCTGTTAATGAACTTAGAAATATCCATGTTTAAAATACAGTCTGACGTAATTTTCATTTACCTCAATGGTGTATGTGCCAGTATTTGACAAAGGTCTAAACAAAAAAGTAGTACCAGTTAGAAAAAAAACTTCCTTACCTTGTATTTTTGCAAGTAGTCCTGAATTACATTTGATCCCACAGCACTCTTGAGATGTTCTTCATCTTCTTCGATGATGTTCTCCATCAGTGAGATCCAGTTAAAGAGCTCAGAAATAGCATGACGAGAGGCCAACTTCTCCATTTGGATCTGACATTAAAAAAGGATTTATTAGAAACGGTTTCCTGTCAGAGGTTTCATCTTACATTGAGCAGGATTTTGGTCAAACCTTATAAATACTGTCAGGTGTCATGCAACGTGTGAGATGTGTTGAGACTGACCTACAGCTGGTTGTAACTTAGTTTACAAATATTGAGGTCAAAATTGGGTTGTGCCATTTATGTGTTGGCAAATGATAATCTGCACTGGCGGCCATCTTGACTCTTTAAGTTAATCAGTTGTGCAAAAACATCCAGTGACCAATGTTCATCAAAATCCATCCAGTGTATGGAGTTTATTTTCTACTTTGAACTGAATAAATATCTTTAAAAACTAAAGTATTCTTAAAGAATACAGTACTTTAGTTCCATCCATCCATCCATCCATTTTCTTCCGCCTATCCGGGGTCGGGTCGCGGGGGCAGCAGCTTCAGAAGGGAGGCCCAGACCTCCCTTTCCCCAGCCACTTCTTCCAGCTCCTCCGGGGGAACTCCAAGGCGTTCCCAGGCCAGCCGAGAGACATAGTCCCTCCAGCGTGTCCTGGGTCTTCCTCTAAACGACTTATTAACCTTATTAA